TCAGTGCGACGATCTGCCCCGGCGGCAGCGCTGACGGAGGCCCGCCGCCGCCGCCGCCGCCGTTCGTGTTAACCGCCGCCACCAGGGCGGCTGCGAAGGCCGGCACGAAGACCGCCGCTGGGTTGACTGACGGACCGGGCGCGCACGGCAAGCGCGTGAACGGGTCCGAGCAGCCGCCGCCGCCGCCAGGGCCGCCGCCAGGGCCGCCGGTGCTGGTCCACGGAAACATCTGGGATTGCCCCGGTATGGTCGACGCCGTCGACACGACGGCAGCGGCTGCTGTTGCAGCGGCGCCTCCTACACAAGGCCGAAATGTTCAACGTCACCAGGGAACAAGATACGGGCAGGCAATAGCGCGGCAAGGCGGCAGGTCATGCAGGTGCACAGGAGCTTTGTGGCCATCCATACGCCGGCCAGCCAGCCAGCGGGAGGAAAACATCTTACACATCCAGCCAGCTGCCGGGATGGTGGTGGTGGTGGTGATGGAAAGATGAACCACTGGCGAATGAAGCAGCGAATGTTCGCCGGTGGGTGGGGATAAAACAGCAACATGACTTGTACAGAGCAACACCTGCAGCATACCTAGAGTAAGTATGGGGCCTTGAGATTGGGCCTGGCCGCCCGACGTAAGACTGTCGTTCCGCGACCACATGACTGACCCGTGGGTCGCGAGCGATCGCATTCCCGCTCCTGAGGAAGACGACGTCGAGGCGGCCCGTAAGGCCAGGCGGTCCGGCAGCAGCGGACCTTTGGAACGCGGCCCCGGCGGTAGCAGTCCTGGTGGTGCTCCTCCTCTTCCTCCTCCTCCTCCGGCCGCTGCTGCTCCTCCTCCTCCTCCTCTCACAAAGCTCTGGTCCGGTCCCGTACGTCGCGACGACAGCGATCGCGACGGCGGCGGTAACGGCTGGAGGGCTGTAATGTGAACCGCAGCCTGTACGGCGGTGGTAGTACCTACCGGTTGCGGCTGCTGCTGCTGCGGCGGTGGACTATTAACTTGCAGCACCCCAAAAATGCTGTAGGGGCTGGGTCCGCCTGGAGGGTCGCCGCCGCCGTCGTCGTCGTCACCGCCGCAGAGAAGTTGCGTGAAGGACGGCGGCGCAACGAAAGGGGCAGCTCCTGCTGCTCCTGCTGCCGCCATGCGGTCATCGTCAGGTCCTGCAACGCGGCTCCGCTTGGCCTGGGGCTCCAGGGGCGGCTCTACCTCAAGCTCATTTCGATCAGGCTGCTGTTGTTGCTGCTGCTGCTGGTGGCAGTGGTGGGCTAGCGGCTGGCAGTGTGGCGGTTCGCGGCTTTGGAGCTGCTGCCATCGCTGCTCCTGCTCCTGGTCCAGCCGCTGCTGTTGCGGCGGCTGATCCAAGAGCTGTGTCTCCTGCCCCAGGCCCCGGTCGTGTTGGTGCTGCTTCTGCTGCGGCTGTTGCGGCAGCGGTAGCGCTGGCGCCAGTAGTCCCTGTAACCCCGGATGCTGCTGCTGCTGTAGTTGCGCAGGCGCCTGCAGCTGCAGAGGCTCCGCCGACTGTTGTTGTTGGTCGTGCTGCTGCTGCTGCTGCAGTGGCAACGGTGGGGGCGGCTCCAGTACCTCCGAAGGCTGCTGCAGCTCCAGTTGATGCTGCTGCTGCTTGTGTTGCTGCCCATTATGCTGCTTCTGTTGCTTGTAGAGATGTGCAGCAAGCAGTTGTAGCGCAATACGCCGGGCTGCAATAAGACAAAACGCAACGCGTTGAGCCGCCGTATATGGGACTTATGGCCGTGTGTGGGGCTTATGGCGCTGTACTGTACTGTTCGGGTGGGTTTGCCCTGGGACGTTGGCTAGCAGCCAGCCGGTCGGGATTGGGCAGGTGTGCCGGCTCTCGGCACACGCGGACTGTATGCAACATTAATGGTGGGCACAATATCAACACTGCGAGAGGCCCGACCCACATCCCCACTCGCATCCTCACCGTCCAAGCGACTTTCGGGGTCTGCAACACCCTCTGAAGCAATTCCCGTAGCGGCCAGTTCAGCTCGGGATCGCGGCGCGGATTGGGCAAGACCTCCACATCAAGACGCTGTTCAAGCTCCAGAGGACTGTCGGCGCTGGCGGCATGGCGTTGGCATTGCTCCAGGAGGGGCCATGGGGCTGCTGGTGCCGGTGCTGCCGCTAGTGCCGGTGCTGGCGCCCCATGGGTTGTCCGGCCCTGCGGATTGGGACACGCAGACCATGCGCATGGCAAGAGCTGCTTTGTCTTGGTCAAAGAAGGATGACTGCGGATGACTGAGGGTGCATTGCATGTCTGAAGGAGGCCCCCTAGCGCCTCAGTTCGCTGGTTCAAGACAGGCAAAGATTGGCGCCTCGACGGATTTGAAAGCCGTTGAAGATGCCCCGTCTGGGGCGCAAATCCTAATGGGCCCGCGGTCAGCACGGGCGAATCACTGTCGCGTGGTGCGCAGATAGGAGCGAGTGGGTGACGCAACGTTTGTGCTTGTGCGCCGTCCGCACACGCATGACGACAACCCCCCTCCCACCTGGTCTAACCTCCCCTCCCACCTTCCCTCTCCAACCTGTTCTGCAGCCACCCGACTCGTCATCATCCGCCATACAGCAAGCTGTGCCGCATCGCCTCGGCGCTGCTCCGTGGCCGGGCCCGCCGCCGGCCCAGCGGCCAGCGCAGCTGAGCGACCCACTGGTCTGCCGCTGCCGTTGCCAGACGCTCCGCTTAAGAGGGACGCGGTCGGTACCGCCGCGCCCAAAGCATGCCATGTGTTTGCATAAGCTGGCACGGACGTTACTAGGTAGCAGCCCTCGCCGCAGAAAACACAGCGACACGCGGGGCAGTACCAGTCGGCCTGGCGGCCTGGACACTCCTCGGAGGCCGCCATGCAGCGGGCATGAACGAGCAGCGGTTGTGGCGGCGGAGGGAGCTGTGCAGTGGGAGCTCCGCCCCGACCCACATCCCATACACACACACACACACACACGCTCTCTCTCTCTCACCTGCCACACTCCCTAGCTCCGGAATATCGTCCGCGGGTTCCCCCCGGGTATTCTCCGTACCGCTGTCCGCCACCTCACGATCGTGCCGTGCTACCTTTTCATGCAGAAGCACATACAAACATACAAACATACGCAAATAACTAAAACAAAAACGCACGCTAGACAACTTGCCAATGTGGTCTCATGGGAGGTGACGGGACTTTGGGAAATAGCTACACGACAAAACACGTCAACAGCCGAGACAACGGCACGCAACGAGACATACATATAGATAAAGTGACTCACAGACAGACAGACAGACAGACAGACGACAGACCGAACACACCAGGAACAATGACATGGCAATGACAGGGGCGCTGGACTGCAGGTCTCGATTTGCCAACCGCCAAACTACCATCCAACTACTACCAGCTAACACATAAGCATCCCAGGGAAAAAGAGCGCTGTATGACCCACGGGTCCGTCCATTCCCACGCTGCTGCTTCCCCTGCCCTCTCCCGTCCCCACCTGCTCCGCGGACGCCTCGCTGGTAGTGGCAGGCGGTGTCCTTATGTCCGGTTGCGGTGGGCGTTGTGCTGTTCTATTGCCGACGTGGAGCGAGACGTTGGTTGAGTTTGTGTGCGCGTGGAAGAAAAGGGTTTTGTAAGGGGGTAGCGGCGGTTGGAGTTGGGCGAGAGGGAGGAGGGATGGCGGGTGCAAAGGTGCTGGCGGCGGGTATTAGTCCTGGTGGAGTTATGTGGCGGGTGGAGAGCAGTTTTCGGGACATGCCGAGTATCGAGTGTCACGTGTAGATGTGTATGCGGTTTTCTGCACCAACCTCGCAACCACATTCCCCCTCTTCCCGCCTCCCGGCGCCCACAGGGGGCCCCCTGTCGCACTCACGTTCCTTGCACGTGGAAGTGGTACATACATACATGCATACATACATATTTACACAGGTAAACCACAACACACAGCTAGCTAGCCGCCATCACCATTCCTCACAAGTTCCTATGTTCTGAACTTGTGTCGACTTTAAGTACATTGGACATCCCTGCATCCCCGCAGTTGGCGCATGTACGGGGCGCACCAGATGCTGAGAACATCACGCAGTTGGTGCTGGATACACTGAACATGGAGGCCGACCTTGGGGAGGAGGATTTGGCGCGCAAGCTCGTAGTAGTCAGCACTGACGGTGCAAGCATGATGACGGGCGTGCACAATGGGGTGTCAGCAAGGCTCAGCCAGACCGCGCCGTTCCTGCTGAGCATCCACTGCATGGCACACCGCACAGACCTCGCCATTGCCGTGCTGGAAAAAAGCCCCGGTCGTCAAGATGATTGTGAGCGTCATCAAGGACGTTTACAACTACTTCTCGGCGGCTTAACGGAGTATTCGGCTTTGGCCCAGCTGGTGTTAGTGATGGTGCCAGGGTCGGTGGAGGATGAGCGGCGGTTCTCGGCCATGGGGTACTTGCAGGACCCCACCCGCAACCGCCTGGACGAGCACCTAGCATTGTGTGTGCGGATGTTTACCCAGGCCTGTTCGACCTGGGCACGTTCCCGTTCCGTGACGCACTGAGGAAGTGGCTGGACAGCAGCATCAGGGGCCGGTACATGATGAACCGGTAGAGTGTGGTGTGGTTTGCAGTGGCGGGTGACGGCCTTTGATTTGCTATGCGGTTGCTTGCTTTGGGCCTTTGCTTGGTCGGATTTACTTTTTGTTCACAAACAGTCCCAGAACTATCTATGCATGTGCATGAAATCTGCTGCGCACATGAACGAAAACGCGCCAACTCAGTGCGTGCCTCTTGGTCTATGAGGGGAGTTGTAACTTATGGGGGGGTCTGGAGGGGGCGTAGCCCCCCCCAGCGGCCCACACTTACGGAATACATTACGGCGACCCTAGCAACTTTGTTACTTAGGTCGGAATAAATTGAGACCCCCCCTAAATGAAAAAAAAATCACTGCCGGGGATACAAGGGTACACCGTCGTAGCCAACTGGGGAAGGCGGAAGTGGCGAAGGTTGCACTTTGTTATTGTGCCTGCTTCACCATGTTCCCAACACGGCGGTGGCAGCGAAGGGCCTCGTGGGTGCATGATGGCGAGCCTCAGACGAGGGACACGCCGCAACCCAAGGGCGCGTCAGATGCTGCGGCGGGTGAGGGTGAGGTTAGGTCCTTCCCCGCCCCTCGCAAACCGCATGGTGCGTGCCAGGGAATCGGAAAAAGTTTCCATTCGGAAATCTACCAGTCGATGCAGTCCCCAACCTGTTTCCGCCGCAACCCGGATTAACATTTCCAAGTGATATACATCGACCTCTGCCGGGCTCGAACCTTGGGCCTCCCGCTTGGGCCTCCCCCCAAAAATAGTATAATGTAGGTTCTAGGACAGCTCCAACTAACCCCCAACTAACTCGTGTACGGCACCCCAACCCCCCTCACCCGTACAGGCGGTAGCGTGGCAGTCGGCAGCTGCGCGAGTGTGAGCAGGTAGTTGTACGGCGGCCCAGCTCGGAAGCTACCGGACTGTAGTGGTGCACACGGGCAGTTGGTGATAGTCGGCAGGCGCGCGAGTGGGAGCTGGCAGTTCAGCGCGCACGCGTCTGGGAAGCTGCGTCTGAGCACGGTTGAGCACGGCGGGTGTGGTGGTTGGCGCGACGCGCGAGTGGGAGTGCACAGTCGTGCGCGCGCCGTCTGGGAAGCTGCGTGTGCGAGCTGCATGTAAACTCAGACGCATGGGGCTGACCCGGTTTCCATAAGCTGGCTATGGGCGCACACGGTTCCACACGCTTGAGAGTTGGGCTGCAGCGCGGGCGGGACTCGCTGGAGTGCATGATAGTCGCTGGTGGGCACGCGCTGGCGGAGCGCGGGGGAACTCGGGGAAACTCGGAAAAAAGTGGTGGGGAATTCCTGGGGAATTCGCGCAAAACTTGGGCGAAACTCGGGAGTTGCACCAGGCTGCGACAGCGTAAAAATAATTGCAGAATTTGATATATTTTGCGAGATATGTAAACATGGATGCATCAGGTTACTTTCATCGCCTTGCGCAGCGCGCGATAGGCGTCGGGGCTCAGGTCCTCCTGCAGCTGCTTCGCAGGCAGCCATTCCGCTTTAGGGAACCCTTTGAATTTTACTAAGCCCTTTAGCTTGCCACCAACATACTTGTTGGTCGCCTCGAAGCGTGATACCTTGTAGTGTGCTTCACCACGCACCTGCTCGCGCTTGCCCTTCCTGTTACCGCCGTGTGCAATATGCGCTAGTGGCATGTGCAATGCAGAATACAGCTAGCAGACAAGTGCGGCTGAGCCGTGCGCATGTAACTCTCCCACGCAATCCGGACAAAACAAAGCCACGGCGGGGCGGTTTACACTCGTGAGGCCGCACACCTGTGTCCTTGCTTGCTTGCATCAGCGACCCAGCTTCCACGGATGGGGATGGCCCCGTCGTGAGTCGAGTAAGTGCGTGCCGCCCACGGCCTACACATACACCATGCGGGCCCGGCAGCAGAAGTGCCGGGCCAAGAAGGCCTAGTCGAGTCCTCCACTCAAGACCGGTGTTTATCAACACAACCATTGCAGTAGCACAGCTCAGCAGCTCAGCACCTCCCACACGCCTTTTGATAACCAATCACTCATCATAGCGGAGGCATGGAGGGCGGCGTCATTGCCTCTCGATCCCCCTCTCCATCCCCCTACTGTCACAGCCCCGCAGTTCCTTCTCGCCTTCACAACCTACCAACCAAGTAAAGACCCTTTCAGTCCATATGCCCCCGCCTAGCCGAAGAGAAGACATTGACGATAAACAAATTCACCTTCCTCCCCTGCACGCACTCCCCCTACCCCCTCGCTGCCCACATTTTCCTTCGATCCCCTGGCCTGCACCTCCCCTGGTGCATCCCCCCTCTCCCCTGGCTATCCACACTTTCCATCGAAATGCCCTTTTTGGAGTGGGGGCGGCTCGGCCTCCCCCCTAATTCTGGTGCGCGCCGTGAAAATCTCAGGGCCCAAAAATAACATTTCACGAATTCTGATATCACGAATCACGTGTAGCAGTACGGTACCCGGTTGGCCCACTATCCAGTTGCAGAGGCCGTGTGAACACACGTCATGCTGAAAGCCAGTTGAGGTGGGTATTACGGATTTCACAGTGCAGACGTTGAATGTTTGGCAGGCCGGCAGCACCGCACGACAGCCCAACAATCATACAGCTAACATGGAGCACAACCCAGCACAAGCGCAGCCATCCACAGACCACCAGCACTTCATGTTATTTACCAGTATATGCTTCATTCGGCTACAGAGCTGAAACACGGACGGATACCCCACCCCAATGCAAAAGCTGCAACGGCAAGGCCGCTAATACATTACCGACTTTAGTGCAGCATCAGGGGGGGCGGAGGAGGGCCTCCTAATCATGTTGTCCATTCAGGTCTTTGATGCCAAAATCTAGTCCGCTGGAACACATGCCAACCAGCGACACGCCGAAGTCATCAGCACCGCAAGGATGTTCACGCGACACCACATCACGGCCTCATCATCGCGGCTCCCTGCTCCATCCCGCCAGCAACAAACATACCAGTCGCCTGCAGCCCTTATAGGTGCAGGCGCCGCACAGCCTTGGTAAGCAACCACGATTCCACCCTCGGCGGTGCCTAGCCACCCTGCCACCAGGCCTGCACACCAAGCACCACCAGCAGCGCCGCCACGCGGCTGCAGCTACCGCGGCGGTAGTACCGCACCGCCGCCACAGCCTAGTCGTACAGCTCTGTGCGCAGCAGTCGCTGCTGGCGGCTGCATGTTGCCGCTGCCAGCTAGCCTCCTGCCACGTCCTGCATGGCGGCCAGCAAGCACCGCGCCATGAGGCTGTGCTGCACGGAGAGTTTGCCACCCAGCTCGGCTGCGATAGCGGCAAGAGAATGGCAAGCTCCTACGACAATGCCTACAGTGCAGCGGGAGCACTGCTCATGCTCATGACCTCCGACAACTCCGACACGCTGCCTGCGATGGGCGGCTCCTGCAGCTCTGCAGTTTGAAGCCAGGTGAGGACGTTATCTATGGAGCGATAGTCCTGGAAGGTCCAGCTCCCAGCCATCTTGCCATCCCGCTGTGCCCGGTCAAGGCTCAGCTGCGCATGGGCGCTGAGCACGTGGCGAAAGGGAACCACCGTGCTGCTGTAGTATTGTAGGGGCCGCGCCTCCAGGTCGCCGTATGTTGTGTCGCCGAACGCATTGGTCAACTCAGCATAGCCCTTGCCATTGGGCCCTCCCAGCCACTGGCAGTCGGCGAGCTTCTGTGACTTGAGCTCGTCCCACAGGATGTGTAGCTTGAGCTTCTTGTCCGCCGGGTCCTCATAGAAGCAAACAGCCGAGTTGTTATAGGCGCGCTTGATGGGCTGCAGGGAAACACGTGATGTGGCGGGTCACACTGCTGCAAGAACATAGGCAGCGCCAGCCGCCACAGGCTAGATGGCATACTGCATCAAGGCCAAGAGAACCGCCTCTGCATGCCATACGCACGTGCCCATGCCTGAGCTACAGTGCTTGCATTCATGTAGGATGAGGACAATGCAAGCATGAGTGTCTATACCTCGGACAGCAGCAGCGCGTTGCGTGGTGATGAGACGTCCTCCTTGGACAAGCCCAGCAGGCGGCATGTGCCATCCGCCCAAGACAGCTTGCACAGGTGCGCAAGGCTGACGCAGTTTGGGGGGATGCCTTCCCCCAGCAGCTGGCAGCCCTTCACCCCTGCACACTGCAGCTGCGACTTCAGTGCAGATGTCTTGAAGTCTTTCTCCTTCTTGCTGTGCGTTGCAGTGGAGCCGTCACGCCACAAGAGCACCTTTGAAACTAGGAACGGCATAACTGACTCCATCTTGCTGACCTTCCTCTGAAGGTCCGCCAAAGCCACTGTGTGTGGGGGGGAGGGGTCACGGCAAGGGTAAGCCGTGCACTCACTCTCTCGTCGACTCTCGCCAAGCCCTTAGCCCCTCGTTGCTAGCACCACGTGATCCAGCCAACTTGGCAGCTGGACTTGTCAGTAAGTACGGCCAGTCGCCCAGTTGAAATGCATGCAGGATCTTATTAACGCAACCAATGCGGGAACGAACGGGTACAGAGCAGCAGCAGAAAGGGACGGACGGAACAACTTCCAGCTGACTTGCAGTACAGCATAGGCGCCGGGGCCCAGGCCCGCGCCGCAGCCCATGCACCCATCGTGCCATGCCTGGGCGAGCGCCCCGCCCACCCACCCCAACCTGCCTACAGCTGGCGCGCTCTATGCGAACTCCCCTGGGGCGGGTGTTGGGCGGGTGCTGGGGCCAGGCCCGCCACCCGCCAGCCGCCCCTTGCCGCCTCTTACAGCTCCCAGCATGCACCCAACACAAGTGCGCGCAACCAGCTCACCCCGCAGCCCTCAGCAACGACCCACCCGCCCTACCGCGCGACGGCCTCGCTGCTGCCCTTCCGATATAGAGGCCAGCACCCCCGGCAACTGCCTCTGCACCCCCGACAAAGGCCCGCTTCTTTTCTTGCTTCCATAGCGGGGGGCAGATGAGCCTCGAATTGGCCTCACCCATCTTAATGCCATAAGCGTTCAGCCAAACCCCAATCATTCCCCCTGAGGATCGGTTCCCTTCCCACGAGCGCCAGGCCTAGAGGCCCTGCAATGCAGATGGGGTCTCACCGTCAGCTGCCGTGCTCCCGGGGCCCGGCCCTGCCGCCGCGCCTGCATGACGAGAATGTCACATGTATGCAGGTCAGGATTATTGCACATCAAGCTGTATCCTGAAGAGACAGAGGCGGTGGTTGCGCAATCGGGGATTCAATCGCAACATGCCGGAATGCTTCACATGGGGCTGGTGCGCTCCGAACTCAGAACTACAAATGTGCGGTTGCTCACCCTACAGCCTCTTGAAATGATCACCAGCAGCAGCGCTGTTCACGATAGCTCAAACACTTCCGTACTACACCGCCGCGGGACCCTAGAGCCGGAGTCTTAGCTCAGGTCAAGCCTGGGCTAGCACAACCAACTCACCGGCTCCAGCCGCGCTCCCCGCACCGAGGCCAGCCGCCGAGGCTGCAGGACATGGGAGCGGTCGGGGGACCCGTGTAGATTACGAGTTGTTTCAAGCTTCAGGCACGAGAACCCTCCCACTCAGCCAGCGACGCAGAGCCTCCCGACACACCAATCAAGCCTTCTCAGCTCCCAGTGCATGACCTACTTTTACGGATAAGCACATCCACGAGCTTCAGCTGTTTGGCCGCTGTGCTACCGCGAATTAGCACACGTTCCAGATTCGTGGCCTTGCTCAATGCTTCTGCAGCGGCCAGCTGCCACACCTCGTCCTTATTAAATGCTTCTGAAAGATGGACAATCAGCTGGGCCTCCTGGGCCTCCTGGTCCATGGCTTGCGCTTGTGGCGCGCTAGCGACACGGTAAAGTACCGTACTGATACGAAAGGTTCGCGCCACACCTTTCGTTTTGGGCCACGAAGTGTGTCACAGTGGAAAAAGCTCTATGGAGAAAATTATTTACTTGTCGCGAAAATGTGTGGCACGAATGTGTTGTACGCCGTGTACATGGTGTAGAACAGCCAGAACTGAGTTCTTACACGCCAGAACTGAATTTTTCATATAGTTATAGCTTCCTTTTATTGTAACTGTTGTTTGCTGGACATCCTGGCACGCTACGTGACAATGCGTTGACCATGAAGCCCAGACGACCCAAGCAGCCTTTTTGCCAAAGCTTGCTCGTGACACTCCTGTTGAGCTCAGAGCAGGCGTTGCTAATATTAATGTTGCTCCAGAGGTCTTGGCTGCTAGAGCCGAGCGTGAAAACGCGATGGCAGTTCAAATTGCCCGGCAGCGTGCCGAAGCAGCCGCTGAGGCGGGCAACGCCATCATGGAGGAGGTAGTTTCTGTTCTTCTGCGTAAACATATAGTAACCGATATGTACAGCAGTTTGGGAGTTTTGATGCTGTCGCTCCTTGTTGTGGCTTCCCTGGAGCCCCGCGAAATGTGTGTTCATGTAAACAAATGTGTGCCATAAAAACTGACAGCCCTCGCGAATTGATGTAACAAAACGAAAAATTCCAGCTATATTTTTGGGGGTACCCGCGAAAGGTGTGGCGCGAACCTTTCGTATCAGTACGGTAGCGCTTTCGCAACCGATGCAAGGGCTGCTGATCTATAGTTGTGAGCCTCCTTTCTGCTGACCGCTCGTTCGTGCGTTGCGGTGTTGGATGCGAGAGTGCTGAAGCACAAAAAGGTCTGAAGGACGGCTACACGCTGTATGCTGAGGCAGGGTTTACGTTTGACCGAAGTTTAAGAGAGGTCAAGTTCTTGGGCTCAGTTCAGCAACGTGCAAATGTCGCCCGCGATGGGGACGGCGTCAGTCCCCAAAAAAATTGCGGATTTCTGAACCTCAACACCTTTGATGCGTATTATGGCTGCTTGCATAACAAATTGCGGGATGCGAGGCGAAGTGCATTCTTACGTACTTCTGAAGTCGCAAGTCGCAAGTTGCCAACTAACTCCAGGGTGGGGCTCACTCCCGCCGGAACTTCGGAGGTTTCGGAGCGGAAAGGGAGTCTCTGGTCTAAGCGTGCATCTCAAATGTCAATTTGTCAAGCAGCAGCTTGGATGTGGTCCCTGGTCTGAAGGAGGAGGGTCATACGTATGATGTTAACAGTAGCTGTGGTATAGAGCTACTAATTGTCGAAATGGAACTGGCGTCCTCGCCCCCCACAGAAAGCGGGGCTTGCCGAATGGAGACCATGTCTAAGT